ATCGCTTTTCCCCATCAGTTCACGAAATAAAATGAGAAAATGTATTTTTCTAAAGTAAAAGAGTTGTCAGGGATTACAACGTATAAGACACAGTACAGTATTTAAAATACTCAGACTGAGGCTCAGCACTTTTTTCGGCTAGGCAAAGAAAACAAAAAATCGAAAAAGAAACAAAGGTCAGAAAACAGCAGGAATATACCGGTAAAATAATACAATTGGGCCCAACATACGGACGATTTGACTCGGGTAAAGTGTAAAAATCTGCTCTGATATCAGTACAATGTCTCAAGATATGGACACTGCCAACATTTATAGAGAATGAAAAATTTCTTTTTCAAAATCTCAATATCTAAAAGAATTAAGCTTTCTATATTCAAAAAATTCTATATTCAACAAATTCACAGAAATGAACTCTAATTCATAATCCAAAACAGGCTAATTCTGTGAGTTTTTTCCATCATCTGCGCACAGTTCAGATAGATTTACTTTTTCTGCTCCTTTTCATGCCAAAAGATCAGATTCCCTGTGATTTTCTTTTGCACAGTTTTTTTCTGTATCTTGGAAGTTGAGGAAAAACTTTTCTTCCACTTTTGGGGTCTTTCTTCTTCATTTTTGATCAATAGGAGAACCAATTAAATATGCTCCCATGTTGTCAACGGGAAATCGTGATCCAACATGCGGACATCCCAACATGTCTTTAAAGGCTCATTGTTTATAGGCGTAGAACCCCGGAGTGATTAATGTGTCTACGAATGAGAACTGAAGTTCATACAACATTACTTCCACGCCTCTGAACGTGACAAACATGTTTGTAAAGAACTAGAGGTCTAGTGTCTATAGGAACAGTCAAGGTGTACACAGTATTGTTTATAGTACTCTCAACGTCGTCCCTAGTTTTAAGTGTGGCCATTAGGGCTGTAGAACTTCGATCTTGTAAAGTTCTTTAGTTAAATTTTCAATAAGTACAATACCGAGTTCAAGCTGTTGAAGAGTGAAACTGTTCGTTTCACAGAATTAAAAACAGTAACTCGATTCACAATACGCAAAAAACGACATCGAACAAGGTGGTACAGAAAACGCTAAATTTTCCGATGATAATAGCAAATTAAGTTGACTGGAATCAGGAACTGCAAAATAAAGGCTTGTTTTAATTTTCGATCAAATGAAATTACACTCAGAAGAGTTAATATCACTATTAAAGTACAGTCAAACCCCGATTGAGTGCCAAAGTTTGTCCTGGCACATTTTGTGGCACTAATCAAGAATGGCACTAAAACGAGGGAATTGTATGATAGAGAGGTCTAGTTCAGGGTTTCCATTAGAAAGGAAACAAACATGTTTGCAGAATTCGTAGGCCATCAGCAGGGTGTTTTCAAAGAGAAAAAGCCAAAATAAAGGATTTAAAGCTCACAGGTAATTTTTTTATAATTAATTCTTCTGTTATGTGTATCAATGCTGAATGTNTGCAATGCTGCAGCGTTTGCACCAAGTGCACCATCTTGAGTCTGAGCCCATACAAAGCTCTCACCAATCCACTCTGACCAGTCCGGGTCATCTTCCGAGGACGCGGAGAAATTCGCAATCGCGTCAATAATCTCACAACTCGTTTCAGGTGAAAGAAATGCCGAAAAAGCATCTGATAACACGTCATGGACCTCAATTCGATCACCAGGCTAATCGGCCATTGTACGTCGTATGTCAACGTGAACGCTTCCCACACCGGTACAGACATGCTCTTCATATTCTCGTCCCATTCGTGCTCTTGCTTGGTTGAAATCGACACTATTTTGCACAGTTCAGCCTCCAGTCCGTATTGCTTGAGACTCCCTTTCAAATAGTCCTTGTAAACTTCATTCTCGCCGATGGAAATCCGCAACGCGAGCTCCAACAACGTATTCAGCCTTGTAAGATTCACGTCTCCGATGCAGCCTCCGAGTTCCACATTATCACACAACAGCATGAATTCCTCAATAAAATCAGCCTTGTCCATGAGGAAATAATGTTTGATCGCTCCCAAGATCCCGAGAAGATCGTGCTCGTCAATGAGAACTTTCATTAGGGCATTGGAAGCGTAGGCATGAGCTTTCTTCACGGCTTCAACAGTTGGCTTGTCCGAGTCGCTGAACGGAATCGGAGCTTCGAAAGGGCACCTGAACGTGTGTCCACTTTTCTTTATCACATTAATATACTTCCCAGTGTTCAAAACTTGCAAAGCGAGTTGACCCTGAAGGAAATCGGGGACCATTTCCGTCACAGGCACTCCGTAAGCTCCAGTCCAGTAATCTTCAGAATAATAAGCAGAAACATTTTCGGTGGCGAATTCTTGGTTCCTCACAACAAAGAACTCTTCGTAAGGATCGTCCAGCATTCCACGATAAATCCAACACTCCAACATGTGCAAAAATGGGGCGTAAGCACGATTTTGCACGAAGGTCATCATCCTTTGAACCTTCCCGTCAGAAAACGCGGAAAAATCTCCGCGGCGCAAAAATGACAGCAAGGCACCACTGCGCAAATCGATCGACATGATGGTTCTTGCGATGCGAGCTAAAACGTCGAAATTCAGAACTGCATCTTGCACTCCGGCCCAAATGGCGAGAAGCTTCAGGCCACGACTACGACGCTCGTCGTCCAGTTGATCGACCAGAAATCGGAATTCGTAAATGGTTTTACGAATGTATCCAGCGATGCTCTGAATTATTCGCCCACACTTCTTTTTATTATTCCAGCTAAATTCCACAAATGTATGCAGCGTGCGAATGTTGGTGAGTAATGGAATGAATCCTTTGATTTGGTTCGCCAAGAGATCATCTGAAACAGAACGAAATGATTATTTAAAAATTATATCGGGAAATTTTACAGGTGCCTCTAAATGCTGACCAACCCTTGAGGCTTCTCGATTTTTGATAAATGAGTAACACTTGAACAGATTTGGAATCTTCGTAAAAAACATACAGCTCATGAACTTTAGCACTGAATAACTTCAGGTGTCATCGACACAATATAAAATCGCCACTTTTACGTCAACAGCTTAGGAGTCAAGCATTTCGGTTTGTTCGGGCCAAGTTATATACGGTATTTCAAACATCATCCCACTGGTCAATTCGCAACAAAGGGGATCACTTTTAGAGGTTAATCAGAGAGAAAAATTGTGAGCATTCAAATTAGTCAATCACTGTGGAGGAACAAGGTAAATCGTGATCAACGTACCCAAAGAATGGTCAACGACAAACGTCGTCTGCTCGTCGTCGATTACATGCAAAATGTAAGATCCTTCTTTTCCGAGTAGACATCCGATTAGATCTACTACAATAAGATCCTCCTGAACTTCAATTGGAAGACGACCGATGGTTCCGAATTTCTTTGATCGTGGTATCGCACGGACAGTATCCAAGACGTCATTATGAGAGGGTTCACGCAAGCTTCCGGAGAGAAAAGTTGAGGAGGATTCCGCGACGCTGTTTTCACGAACACGAGGAGTACCAAGGATGGCTTTTATATTTTCCTTAGCCTGGAAAAATACAAAGCATTAATGAAAAGAATACAACACTTTTAAAAATCAACCAACCTGATTCGGGTCGACCATTTTCGGGGCACTCCTAATGGAGCTGGAAGATGCATGACCAACCCATGACCGGCTTGACGAGAAAACGGATTCCATCGAAGAGCGCAATTCGCGATCGTTGCATACCAAAGCGATTAGTTCCAGGAACTTCTCCAGATTCCGTGGGTTTTTAGTATCCCAGACTTGGAGGTTTCGCTTCACTTCTACCTTCATCTTCTCGTCAGGACACGACGACAAAATTGCGTCGAACTTAGAAACATTGCTGCCCACGCGGTAGCCTTGAGGTTTCTTCGGTGTGTCACTGATTTCGAGACGAAACGTATTTCTTCTGGCGAACTTGTCCAATTCCAAGTCCCAATACAGCTGTTCGGCAACATTTCTCGGTTTCCTGGAAGAAAACATAAATGCTGGAGACGAAAGCACTCCGAATTGAAAGATAAATTCAGTACTTACTGTGTGTTATCCGCGAGAAGTTTCAAGGTATACAGCAGTTCATATTTACTCATGACTGAGCCTCAAGTTGATTACTGCCGACACGCTTTCACATCAAGAGCCAACACATCATTTTATTTAAAAACACACAATTTTGATGATTCGATTCGTGAGGAACAAATAAGCTGCGATAGAGTAAGCCGAAAACCCTGTATTCGATATGAAAACAATCAAGATGCTGGATTTAACGTTCAAGAAACTCAAATAACCCGCGAAGGCAATTCGTTAAAGTCAACATACAATAAAGGACACCTCTAGAGAAATGACTTCGACGATTTTCAGTCTCACTCCTTCGTACTTCGGTGCATCACGACGAAGCCAAACACTGCACATTCAATCCGTAAAACACTGCTCTCTCAGAATTGCCGCTCCGTACGCCGTTCTCCCGCATTCAGTCGATCCCATTCGATGCGTAGCTAATCCCAAGTACAGTATTTGCGATGGAACTTTCCAGATGCTAACGTAGATGTCGCTTGAGGGCGGGGATACGAGCCTCCAATGCGGCGACAGTCAATCAGAGGTAATCGCCATAGCATATTTGTGAACTCACCTCAGCTTCATTCTCACAGAGCGCTCCACTGAAAATGCCCATACTGTACATCGCAGAACTTCTGACTCTTCTGAGGTAAACCGGGTTCATCAACTTCAATCAACCTGTTCCTATTCGTGAATACTGTACATTCGAACAAGTTCCAGTAAGTGGCATTTTACAAACTCATCGAGTTGAAAATGGGGTCGCATCCAAGTTTTACGAATTTTCATGAATTATGCTGATGGGTTTCACAGAAGAGCTGGAACATTTATACAGTGATCTGTTTGGATTTACATTCCTTTGCCATATGTTACTGCTTTTACATCATTATGATCTCTTTTTGTGCTGTATAAATATATAAATTCGACATTATATGTAACGTTTTATTGCTTTAGATCCGTTTTCTTGTTGCAATTGCATGGCATTTTTTCCACGGCAAAAGAAATGAATTCTCACAGCAAGTTTCAAAATCCTTATTCTCGACGAGGATGATATGCATCATCAATATAGATCATTTAATCAATCATTTAGAAAGGCGGAAAATGGCTGGCTAAAATATTCCAAAACCTTGGACAAGCAAAGATGAACAATTTGAAAGGTTGAATTGGAAGTTTGAAGAAAAATATAAACTGCAGAATAATATTCCAAACAGTGTTCAAAAATGTTACACTTATGAACTCTCTCAACAAAAATTTTGTCTACAATGATATTCTCTGTACAATATGTCCCAAATAAGGTTCTTTCCCCATAATACAGCATGTGGGTTCAAAGCAACAAAATTAGCCCTGCAACAAATTTTTTTTCTGGTCCCTTGAATTTAATTGTTGTAGACTTTTAAAGAGTCCACTTGAATACTGTATATACAGTACACCAATATGTGGTACACTTAGTCAGAAAAACACTAATTTTGCAACACAGATAAATATTGCACATCAGATGTTTCAATTTTCCCCAAGTGTCATTCAGTTTGCTACACCACTTGTTCTCAAGGTCACATCACGTTCTATCTGAACTCTAGGCTGAGTCCTCTGATGTCGGCGCTGATACTGTTGTTCAGTTCAAAGGAAGCGTGCGTGGGTGCATCTATACAAGCACACCTCCTGTAATTTTGTCTGCTGTACTGCTGTGCGAATTCCTTATTGTAGAGCAAGCTATAGCTTGAGGGTTCCAAAGAAATCCCTGCTCCTGTGATGTATATACTCTCAGCAAAATCCTTAAAATTATACTTTTTGAAGTGCACATGAAATTCCTGTTAAGAATTGAATGCAGCAATAAAAGAGTGAAGTTCATACTTCATTGGAATTTTGAAAAATAGAACATCCACAGGTACAGAATCTCTCTACAACAATCTGCCCAAGTGGGGAGCTATTTTTGCTGTTACACTTGGTGCACAAATGTGAAATAACGGGAGCATCACACAAATGCGCCAACTGTAACCTTGTTGTGACTTACTTGTTTACAAATGTGACCCTGAGTAATCCTGCTGGTGTGAACACACAATTGGTGCACATTGGGGATATGCATGTGCAACAGACAAACATTGGTACAGGTCAGGTGCACAGCAGGGTCACTGTGTAGAATTACAAACAAATCCCCATAGTGCACAAATTTCCCCACTGGGTGTCTATACCAATTTTATAGTTTAACCTCTCTAAGTCAAATTTCCAGGGAATAGGAAAACAATTGACTTAGGGAGGTTTCTATAGCTAGGCAGTGAACAAGCATTATTGTGGGAAGCCTGAAGTAATTGCAGGGAAATGTCATCAAAATTGTTATATGCAAAATACTTGCATGACACTTTTAACACTTTTGGAAAATAACGTGCTTGTGGTGCTTGAGGGAATGCAGTACCATAGGGAGGTACTGCACCCTGAACTTCATTCTGGAAAAGAGTTTGCTTGCTGCCTGACCTGAACTTTTATCAAAAAT